CTCTCCCTCTTCCTCTTTCTCTCTTCCTCTCTCTATCACTCTCCCCTCCTCTCTCTCTCTTCCTCTCTCTATCCCTCTCTTCCTCTCTCTATCCCTCTCTTCCTCTCTCTATCACTCTCCCCTCCTCTCTCCCCCTCTCCCTCTCTCTCTCTCCCCCCTCTCTCTCTCCATATATATATATATATATATTTAGATGACAATTAAGTTTGGGACAAAAAGAAAGGAAACATCTAAAATTTCTGGTTGACACCAAAACAGGAATAGAGGAGAAATCTTCCAATAAGGACACTTGTTCCAGTCACAGCTGTCTGACAGTGAATTTCCCTTGCCTTGGAGAGCTATAATATTATTTCCTGTTGTGTCTATAGGACAAGAAGTGAAGCAAAATCTCCTAAATGTGGCACGCTTGGCAAAAAAAACCTAAAGGTTTGAACCATTCCCTATTCTATCCAAAATGAACAAAAAGTTCTGGCTTTAGATACAATTTATGGTAAATCAGATTCAAGTAAAGGAAAACATCGCTCATGTACACAAGTCCTTACAATAACATGCGTTAATTCAATAACTGCAACACTGCGGCACTGCCGAATGAACGCGGTTGAGATCTCTGATTAGCTCGAAGTGAATATTGGTGGAACGAGTTATGTTTTTGTTTTATCCGAATGGTGTTGTAATACATATTTTTCCTGCATGCCTCAAATTATATATAATTATTGTGGGAGTGTTTTTCTATACTATGATTCAAACGCATTCACACTGTAAACTAAGACAAGGTAGGTGTTTGGCAGTGTTCCGGGAAGTAAACCAAAGCTTGTAGCTAACAATGAATCAATATTGGATTAAAAATTAGTAGGTTGTTAATGATTCAATTATTTCCAGAGATATGTGCTTTATTAAGTGCACCTTAAATGCAGGGACACAGTGCCGGGACGAAGTCCTCTGGCATGCAAGATGAGAACGCCAAAGTACATTCCCCATCTCGAGCTGTTTTTATGGGCATTAAGGAAACCAAAATTCTAATCTTTTATATACAAACAGTAAAAATAATTTAATAAATAAGGCAATGAAAGAGTTAACAAAATAATAAATGTCAGCTTAAATTTTAACTACAAATTTTTTGGTTAAAACAACTAAATACAGTTCATGACAAGTTTTATAATGTGCTTAGGTGCTAGAATCATGTTTCTGGTGCAAAGCAAACTTGGTTCTACAAACACAAATAAATATAAATGTAAAGGTTTACAGACACATACAAAAATAAGAAAAACATGCTACGGGAAGAAGGGGATGAAGGGGTTAATAATCTGTGTTCACTAAAGGTTGCCAAAATGTTTTTTAAAAGTTAAAAACATAGTAATTTATGAAAAAAAGTTACAATGTTATCTTTCAATCATAAATAGATGCAGAGCAGGACCCCAGATGTCCAACTGATAGCTCTGTCCTGCAGATTACACAGGGAGAATGTGGCTTACCCTGTGTAATCATTGGAGCTCTGTGGCAATTAGGTGCTGTGCTCTGTTTACTAGGAGCACACATAGCTCTGGATAAAGAGTGGGGGCGGCTGTCCTGCCAACAGCAGAGCAAACTGCCGCTGGTTACATGGGGGGAGCCCCATCTCCCTGTGTAATCTGCAGGACTGAGCTATCAGTTTGATAGCTTGGTCCTGCACAGTGCATGAGATGGCTGGGTGATGCCAAGGCAGGAGAGGCTGCCACCCCGCTGAACCCCCTGCAGCTCGGTACCCAAGGCAGGTCCCTGTTGCGTGCGCAGCCTATTGCATTATTGCACACAAAAGTACAAACACACACGCGTATATATATATATATATATATATATAGAGAGAGAGAGAGCGATAGATAGATATACAGTATATATCACATGCACCCGGATATATATATATATATATATATTACACACACATACATACACAGACCTAAGGCATCCCAGATTCCCATCTCTTCTAATGTCCCTTACGTCTTCTAGCAGGGGTGCAGTAATAAAGCATGGAATCTGGCAGGTGGTCATGTCCTCTCTCCCTCTTCCTCTCTCCCAGCTTCCTGATTGGATGAGTAGCCACAGCCATGCTTCCTTGCAGCTTCCCAGGCACAGAGGACTGCAGCTCTTATGTGAAGAATGTAAGTGGCGAGTGCTGCTGCGCTATGTATCACTGAGCCAGTCACTCCCGGGATGGAGTACAATCTCAATACAAATGGGTAAACTAAACGTGAGATTGTAGTCCAGCCCGGGAGTGAGCTTGGAGCCGTGACCATGGGGACAAAAGTAGCCCCCCTCCAGAAGGAAGGACAGTGTCAGAACCAATTCAGAGATGATTGGAGGATCTACAGCCGAGTCATACACAAATAAGATACATTGTTGTTAATGGTTCAGGTACTTGAATGTATTTTTAAGGTTTAGGTAATGAGTTTAGTGTCACTTTCATTTTAGCACAAATTACTTAATATGAAGTGAAATAAAACAAAGTACAATGGAATATGAGACATCAACCTCCAATGGACCTACAGCCCAAAACCGTCAGGGAGGCAGAGGCAGTGAAAACTTTATGAGGGGAATTTATCAAAACTGGAGCAGACAAAATCTAGAGCAGTTGTCCAGGGCAACCAATCAGCTTCTCTCTTCAGTTTGTTCAGTTAAGATTTAAACAGAAAGAGAGAAGCTGATTGGTTGCCATGCACAGCTGCTCCCATTTGGATAAATTCCCCCCTATGTCTTTTTAGTCAAAGAAAATAAAGTGTAAAAGGGTTCTTTACAGTAAGAGCTGTGAAATTGTTTTCTACAGGAACTAGTTCTAGCCAATAGTGTTGATTATTTTACAATAGGGTTGAATGCTCACAGTTACTAATCTTTACACTTCATGGAAGAATGTTAATTAGGTGATTGCTTCCATCTGCCAATAAGTGGGCAGAAGCATGTTTAGAATGATAAGAACAGAGAAGACTGGTTTGCTTTAATGGCTTGCTGTGGATCAACCGTGTTTAAACTACAAGTCCCACCATCCCCTGGCTCTGAGAGTTATGCCTGTGGCTGTCAGAGTCTTGCAATGCATCACGGGACTTGTAGTTCCACCACAGCTGTCAGTATTTTGTTCTCCTATCTATTTGTATCTATTTGTGTTTATTATTATTATTATTCGGATTGACATGCAAAGTGTGCTAACCCAAAGTATCTAGCTCACACTAGTCCTTCATTGTTCTCTATGAGGGAGGGGGGAATCGGATTATATATCAGAGGTTACTGACACTTAACACACGGTCTTGCCTTTTGTTTAAAAAATAAATGTCTGTTAATGTCAAAGAAATTGATTTATTTTAATTGCAAAACTTCTAATGAAAGGTTTCCAGATGGTATAATTGCCATTATTATGATCCAGGATTTATGTAGCACCAACAGTTTGCGCAGCACTTTACAATATAAAGAAGCCATTACATTACAAATCAACCATTAACCTCAGTCTGTGCTCTCCCGGACATCCAGACATCATACGTGTAATTATATGTATGGAATATATATGATGTCAGTTCATGGCGCGGGCACTGTGATTGACAGGTCAAGTCTTCCCGTAAGTCACACGACCTAAAGAACCGGAATCCTCATAGAATTCAGAGGATTTATTGATACCAGAACAGAGATATTCCAGTTTTTAACTAGAGGATGCTCAACTATCTGGAGGGATTGTCAGTGATGGGATCATATACAAATCTACACTGGAAATAAAGTCATTATAAAAATAATAGCGACATAACTGTATCCCCTCCGCAATCTTCTAGTCATTAATCTGAATGAACTATGAGAGTTAATCATCTCTTTATCCTGGAACATAAACCCAGCAACGTATTGTTCAGCCCGAGCCGTGCTACAGCAACTTCAATACCAATGAGGAGGGATTCTCAGGTACATCTAATTGTGCCAGACCCGGGGTAACGTGTGCCAATTATTCCTGGAGAACCATGTGACATGGTAATCTATCTATCTATCTATCTATCTATCTATCTATCTATCTATCTATCTATCTATCTATCTATCTATCTATCTATCTAAGTATATAACAATGTACTTTTTCTTTATTTCTTTCTTTCTTTCTTTCTTTCTTTCCATATCTATCATCTATCTATAGTATAGCATATAAGAATTTATATGATCTATCTATGTATCTATCTATCTATCTATCTATCTATCTATCTATCTATCATAGTATATAACAATGTACTTTTTCTTTCTTTCTTTCTTTCTTTCTTTCTTTCTTTCTTTCTTTCTTTCTTTCTTTTTCTCTTTCTCTCTTTCCATATCTATCATCTATCTATAGTATAGCATATAAGAATGTATATTCTCTATCTATCTATCTATCTATCTATCTATCTATCTATCTATCTATCTATCTATCTATCTATTATAGTATAATATATAACAATGTACTTTTTCTATCTTTCTTTCTCTTACTTTCTTTCTTTCTTATACTTTTATCATTCTTACTGTCTTTCCTTTTCTTCCCTTTTTTTTTCAGTGATTGAAGCTGTACACAATTCTCAACAAGTTTTTCTTGACAATGCCAAATGAAGTCTATCTATCTATCTATCTATCTATCTATCTATCTATCTATCTACCTATCTTTCCAATTATCCATCTCACTACCATCCACCACCCTCATCAGAAATGCAAAAGTACCATAATGAACTATACAATTCTCTCTCTCTTCTCTCTCACACACACAAACACACACTTCTCTCTCTCTCTCTCTCTCTCTCTCTCTCTCTCTCTCTCTCTCTCTCTCTCGGAGAACACAAATCACAGGAATACACATCTACAGTACACACAGTGACAAGTCTTGTAGATTGTGAATCTTGTAGAAATCTTTCAGTCAGCCCCCCTCTCAGCCTGCACAGAGTCTTGTATTGTTGGCTACAGGCTGGGAACTGTCACAGGCAGGTATCCCTAAGGAAGGAGAGCAGGTAAAAGGGGATGGGGTGGGGGGTGGGATGTATTACCTGTGCAGCGTGGGCTCTTCTCCTCTCTCCAGTCAGTTGGCTCCAGTAGTCAGGGACAGGCTGTCAGAAGTGGTGGCTATGCTGGCTCCTCTGTGCTATTCCAGCCTCCTGCCTCCCCTATTTATACCTCCCCTGGCCCAATGATGGAGCAGCCTGTGATGTAATTTGGGGTACGTCTTCATCTTTCTTCTCTATATGTTTGATGTCAGAGAAGCAGACTCTAAATGAATCCACATTAACCTCTTCCACTCTAGAAGGGAGGAATGGGTTCGGTCACCAGTTTAGACAGGAACCTGATCCAAGTTTATTGCTTCCGAAAATGACATAATCCTATAAAAGGATCATAAGTGTAACATAGTGAACATGGTGAACAATGGGTTCATTTGTTGCTCAGAGGAGACCCCGTATTGTATTGTACATTCCGCTTCTCTCGGATGAATATTTAATGAGGCGAAGCAAAGAACAATGAGGATATGCAAAATGATATAACCCGTAGCAACCAACCAGATATCGACTTACCAAAGCCAAGTCAATGAAGAACGACTTCTGCCTGATTGCTGAGTTCCTGCGTTTCCCACCTTGACTCTCACTTCATTGGATCAACTTCTATGAGTTTCAAGTCGTGTACAATATGCATCAAAAAGTGAATCTAGACCCAAGGACAAAAATGTAATATATTGCAGCTTATTAGTCCTTTACTTTCACTGGTGATCAGACCAGTTACAAACTTTGGGGTTCATGTATAAAAGTTATATGTCTTATGGATGCTATGCACTCGGCATTAGCTCCCCTAGATGGCGCTGATGAGAACAAGAACGGCAACTTTTATAAATGAACCCCTTCCTGTGGGTGACAACACTCACCCACTGTATTGTATGAGTGCAGAAGCAGTGTTGTCACCCTTGGACCGAACTGCAGAGTACCTCCTCCTTACTTCCTCTGCATAATATGAGAAAGGTGTTTTGTTGTCTGCAAAGACAACAGAGAAGAATGCGAACTTATAACAGTGCAGCACTTGCAGACAGCACAGGAAGTTATCAGCTCACAAGATTTTTGGTAGGATCAACAGGGGGGATATTCAGTAAAACCATCCCATCTGAATGAGCCTTTAGGACCCGTTCACACCAGACACAGAGGGGAAAGAGGTACACACAGACAAAAGGGGAACAGGTATGTAAAACTGCTTTTCCCTGTCCCTTAGGGCCCGTTCACACCAGACACAGTGTGTTCCGGCCCGATTCTGGCCAGAACGCACTGGATCGCATTGAGGCCTGCTCACTTTGTTGTGGGGCAGGAGGGGGCGTGGCGGTGCATTGAAGTGAATGGCACCACAGCCACACCCTCCGGCGGCAATGTGATCGGCCCCATGGCACTGCCTGCCTTCCGGTATGGTCAGAAAAAATAGTGCTTGCAGCATTTATTCTGACCGGACCTCAGGCATTGATGTGCCTTGCGTTCCCATGCAGCCGTTCACATTGCAGCCGGAGGGCGTGGCTACGGTGCCATAGAGTTCAATGGATTACCATGCCCCCTCCCACCCCACAACAAAGTGAGCCGGCCGTAATGCGATCCAGTACTTTCCGGCCAGTGTCTGGTGCGAATGGGCCATAAAACACACATACCTACCCTTCAGCACAGGTAAGCCATGTAGGTACCGTACAACACCCTCCAGCACCTGTGTTGTCCGAGCACATGTTCAGCTTAGCCCAATATTCCTGTTTATGTCTCTGATGTGGGGATGAGGGGAGGAAGACAATGGGACTGATAGATGTAGCTGATGACACTTATCACAGAGGGAACAATAGCGATCAATTTCTCTATCAATCAATAACTCTCCCAGGACTGATCAGCAGAATTCATACACATGAAAACAGCCAGACCAAGTGTCTGCCGGCAAGGGCGTAACTATGAATCATGGGGCCCCATGGCAAAATTTGGATGGGGCCCCCCGTGCTAACATGCCCTGTAGCAGCTTACAAACGTGACAATACGTGTCATTGATCTTACAATAGAATGCGCCTAAACCAAGGACAGGCAGCAGGAGAGCCATCAGCATAGTCAGTGCATTACAAGGCAGCAGTGCTTGTAAAACGTTCTGGTTGTAGTAGCAATAACGATAATAATTATAATGATATCCGCCGTCCTATAAGGTTTTATTAGAGGAGACGCTCTGGGGTTTGGAATAAAGATGTAACTCGCTGCGCTCTGGGGTTTGGGATGGCATTAGGCACGCAGTGCTCATTTCATTCTGCAGTAGAAGTTCAGAGGACAATAAATCTACACCGCTAAGATAGCTAATCACATGCTTCTTATTGCACAGATGATCCTGCGGTCTGACTTCAGCCGTTCTGTACTGCAAACTTCTCAGTTTACTTCTTCTGAACAACTTCCCTTATAGGGCCCCCTCCCCACCCCAGGCCCTGTAGCAGCTGCATGGACTGCTATAGCTATTATCATATCACTGACTGTGTCTAGACAGGCCCGTCTTTAATATTGATCGGACCCTGGGCAAACATTTTCTTGGGCCCCCCACCAAGAAAAAAAAATGTAAAAAATTACAACATGATTGTATATCTCCCTGAAAATCTCACTCCATTTCTGTTCTGTCCTTCAATATATGTGAATAACATGATTGATAGAATTACAATGCATGATAGTAGAAAGCCATGATTAGACATAATTAACATGATTAGATAATCAGACTTAACAGAGACATGATTGTTGGTAATTTGACATGATACAGCGTTATTGAAGGTTCAACAGAGGAGGAGCCTAGTTTTCTCTCAACGTTTCGCGCTTAGGGGCGCTTCTTCAGGAGAGGGAGGTTGTCATTCAAATGTGCAGCCCGGGGCGACTGTGCAACATGCTGGGGGCTCCATAGTGTGAGGAGGACGGACACCCCTCGGTTCTGGTCGGGGAAATAAGCAGTTCCAGGACTTTTGGCTACCCTCGATGCCTCTCAGTTTATGCTGCTCCGGGTGGGATTCGTGGTCCGGGCCTCTCTCCCCTCATCTGCTTCGGTGACTGTGACCCAGGTGCTGTGCCTGGACGGCCCTGCAGAGATGCACACACACACTGACCCATTTGAATGACAACCTCCCTCTCCTGAAGAATATATACCACATCCATTACAGCGCCACTAAGCGCAAAACGTTGAGAGAAAACTAGGCTCCTCCTCTGTTAAACCTTCAAAAACGCTGTATCATGTCAAATTACAAACAATCATGTCTCTGTTAACTCTGATTATCTAATCATGTTAATTATGTCTAATCATGGCTTTCTACTATCATGAATTGTAATTCTATCATGTTATTCACATACATATGGAGTGAGCTTTTCAGGGAGATATACAAATTGTATATCTCCTTTATATTTCTCCTTTTTTATTTTCTCACCTACCTGCCTCAGTCAGTCCTCGCCTCGTGCCAGTCTGCCTCTTTCCGGATGTCCTGGACGTGAGTGAGGCACCCGTCCGCACAGCCTCACGTCCTCCAGGGAAGCCCGTGACATGTCACGCTATGCGGGCGGGGGCCGGGGGAGGAGCTACCTTTAGGATGCGATCGTGCAGATCGCATAGGACAATACGTTATGGCATTGCCGTATGCGGCCGCTGCCATAACGAATTTTACTATGCGATCCGATCGGCAATTTTCGGCGGGCAGCGGGCTCAAGGGGCAGATGCTTCGGGCCCCACAACCTTTATTGGGCCCGGGGCAAGTGCCCTCTTTGCCCTGCGTTAAAGACGGCCCCGTGTCTAGGTAGCGTGAATGTCTGTGTCTTTGTCCTTCAATAAAGCTTTGAGCATGTGATCTTTCCCCCTCCCTTATCCCTCTCCCTCCATCCCACCTGTTGCTTTTTGAAGGTTGATTGTATATAAATTGTTTTTGTTGCGGTGCCATGTAGGAGCTGGGGTTTATAAGGGCGCTGCATGTCTGACATTTCTCTAGTACCCGGTGGTAATGGACCACATATTTGGTATGCAGTAAAGCGGTGTCATGAATGACGTGAAGGACCCAGGACCTTTTGTCTACACGTCAGGCATCATGCCGCTGAGTAAATGTAATTTATTTGTGTGATTGTACTCTATAGCCATGTAATGTTCTATTGCGCTGCGTCTTAGTACAGACTGATTTGTATCCCGATTAAGGATTTATTTTTTATATATTTTATATATAAATAAAGTAAATTATTTTCAACAAAACAAATGTCCTTGTTCTTGCTTCACTTTTCCTCCTTTTACCAGCTCTTATACTTTAATCATTCTATGCTCTCTGCTTTTCAATCTGTGCTCCACTTTTCCTCCTTTTTGTCATTCTCCTCTTTCATTTTTTTAAACACCTCTGTTTCTTTATTCTCTCTCTTCCTTTCTCATCTGCTCTCCACTCTTCCTTTCAGTATCCCTGCGAATCTCCCTCTTTTTTACTCTTCCTCTCTCTCTCATTCCTCACTCTCACCTTTAAGTCTCCCTCACCCAAGACATTTTGGACAATTTCATGCTCCCAACTTTTGTGGGAGGAGTTTGGGGACGGCCCCTTCCTGTTCTAACATGACTGCACACCAGTGCACCAAGCAAGGCCCATAAAGACATGGATGGGGGAGTTTGGGGTGGAGGAACTTGACTGGCTGCACAGAGTGCTGACCTCAGCCCCATAGAACACCTTTTGGTATGAATTGGAGCGGAGACTGTGAGCCCGGCCTCCTCCCCCAACATCAGTACCTGACCTCACAAATGGTCCAACATTCCCATAGACACACTCCTAAACCTTGTGGACGCCTTCCCAGAAGAGTTGAAGCTGTTATAGCGGCAAAGGGCGGAGCCAACCCAATACTGAACCCTACGGACTAAGACTGGGATGCCATTAAAGTTCATGTGCGTGTAAAGGCGTCCCAATACTTTTGGCAATATAGTGTATAGATATATATAAAAAATGATATATATCTATACACAATATCTATACAAAAATGCTCCCTGGTCAGTGCAGACCGGTGACGGGAGACCAAAAACAAAGACATCCTTGGGTAGTTTGAAAGTCTCTGCGTGGAAGGAAAGTCAATCCCGTCCTACACACAGACAGTATTAAGCTTTAATAAACCGCAC